AGGACAGACTCTTTTATAAGAAATCAGCGTAATTTTCTCCACAATGGAGAACAGATTTCGCCCGAGGGTTTTCATCAGCTGTCAGCGCATGCGCAGTGACGTGTAGATTTTCTTTATCGCGAGTTGCGTCTCGAGAATTAGCCCAACGTCAGATTTGCATTAACTGTTTTTATTACACGGTAAACGAGTTCCATTGACAATTGTTAACGTCGGCGGACTATTACAATGGCGGCGGTTGCGTATCGGAAACAGCATTACGCAATAATTGGCGTCACTTCTGACACTTGGTGGCGCCCCAGTGCAATCCCTAACTCACGCGACATCCGCTCCTTTGTAAGGGAGGGCTGGTCGGGCATCCGGGGGGGTGGAGGGCAGAGGGAGGGCCCCGTAGCTTTCTAGTAGTGCCCCCGAGGCTCTTCCCTGCCGTGCCTTTCTCTGATAGAGGGTGAGGTCCGGGCAGCGCTTTCCCCATGAACCTGTACCCGCGCACCATACGTTGTTTCTGGTGCGTTAGCTGTTAGAGGGATGTTTATGCTATGTTATGTTATGTTATGTTATGTATGTTATGTTATGTATGTTATGTATGTTATGTATGTTATGTATGTTATGTTATGTTATGTTATGTTATGGTATGTTAGTATGTTATGTTATGTTATGTTATGTTATGTTGATGTTATGTTATTTTGTTTATGTTATGTTAATGTTATGTTATGTTATCGTTATGTTATGTTTGTATGGTTACGTTACGTTACGTATGTTATGTTATGTTATGTTATGTTGTGTTATGTTATGTTATTGGTTTGATGTATGTTATGTTATGTTATGTTTGTGTTGTCGTTTATGTTATGTTGATGTTATGTTATGTTATGTTATGTTATGTTTATGTATGTATGGTTATGTTATGTTATGTTATTGTTATTGTTTTATGTTCAATTTGTTGTTGTGGTTATGTTATGTATGTTTATGTTATTGTTCGTGTTTATGTTTATGTATGTTAGTATGTTATGTTATGTTGTGTTGTGTTATGTTATGTATGTTTGATGTTATGTTAATGTTATGTTATGTTATGTGTAATGTTATGTTATGATTATGGTAAATGTTATGTTATGTTATGTATGGTTGATGTGTCGTTATGTTATGTTAATGATTATGTTATGTTATGTGTGTTGTGTTGTGTGTGTTCAATGCTATGTTATGATTATGTTTATGTTATGTTAGTTATCGTTATGTTATGCGTTATGTTATTTATGTTATGTTATGTTATGTTTATGTTATGTTGTTTTGTGTTTTATGTTATGTTATGTTGATGTTATGCTTATGGTTTATGCTTATGTTTGGGGTATGTATGTTATGCTTATGTTATGTTATGTGTGTTAGTGGCTATGTCTATGTTATGATATATGTTCATGTTATGTTATGTTAGATGTGTGATGTTATGTTATGTTATGTTATGTTAGTGTTATGTTTATGTATGTTGAGTGATTATGTTATAGTTTATGTTATGTTATGTTATGTTATGTATGTTATGTTATGTTATGTTATGGTTAATGTTATGTGTATGTTATGTTATATGTCTATTGTTATGATTATCAGGAGTGTAAATAGAAAATAGATATTAGTTACTGGAGTAATTACTATAAGTAAGCTATATAGTTATATACATCGCTGATGTTCTGTTCTGTTATGTCATGTTAGATGTTAGATGTATGTAGAACTCTGCGTCGGATTTAAACAGAACTGACCCAGACGTTCTAGGTCGCAGCTCTAGCAGGCGCGTACACCCGCGTAGCTAACGTACGCAGAAGGTTGGCGACTCGCGCAGGTGGGGGACCGGGGGCCGCTCCTGTAATGTATGTATTGTACCCAGCGCGCTTTGTTAATAATGCAGCGTCGTAATGCGCTTATTGTGTGAACGTGGGGGATCAGTTTCACGTGTGGAGAGTTCCCGGCCATGCTTTCATCGACGCATGAATCATAACTAACGCACAGCTTGAGACGACAAACTGATTTTACATGTGAAAACGGGCCGTTCGAATCGGTCGCTCGAATTCAAGAGGAATATATGGGAATGCATGAATGCCGTACGCGAATCTACATGTGTTTATGCGCGCGCTGTTCTGTGGGCGTGGATGCTGAGACATAATACGAATCGTTATGCCGGTGTGTACGTGCTATTATACTATATCGGCACACGGACGTCATTGTTCGCCCAACCGTGTGTGTGTGTGTGTGTGTGTGGTAGTGTGTGTGTGTGTGTGTGTGTGTGTGTGGTGTGTGTGTGTGTGTGTCTCTGTGTTGTGTGGTGTGTGTGTGTGTGTGTGTGTGTATGTGTGCTGTGTGTGTGTGTGGTGTGTGTGTGTGTGTGTATGTGTGTGTGTGTGTGTGTGTGTGTGTGTGTGTGTGGTGTGTGTTGTGTGTGTGTGTGTTTGTTGTGTGTGGTGTGGTGTCCCTGGTGTTGTGATGTGTGTGCGTGTGTGTGTGTGTGTGGTGTGTGTGTGTGTGTGTCGTGTGTGTGTGTGTGTTGCGTGTGTGTTCGATGTGTGGTGTGTGCGCTGCGCGTGTGTATGTGTTTGTGTGCGTGCGTGGTGGTCCTTGTGTGTGTGTGTGCTGGCTCGGCGTGTGTATGTGTTTGTGTGCGTGCGCGCGCGCGCGCGTGTGTGTGTCGTGTGAGTGCACGTCGATGCGTGCATGCATGCTCACGCGTGATCGCAGTTGTTGTTGTTGTTGTTGTTATCAGCTACTGCAGCTGCCACTGCTATAGTTCTGCCTCCCCCACCAGCAGCAGCAGACTACCTGGAGGCTGAGGTAGTAGGAACAGCTGAGGGGGATCGCACTTCGGCGCGAATGGCCGAGATGTGTATCGTATATACCGATCACATCTATAACCTCTGCCCTCGTTTAGAAGTGAAAGAAAGTCTTTTCAGTGTCGTTTCTACGTTTTATAGATACGTCAATCATCGTACCTTAAGGCGTAGCAGACTGGCAGCATTCCCCGGGTGGGCATACACAGGTATTTTTGAATGGATATGGGAGCGACGGCTAGAAAATATAGAAGGCTGGCTATGTGACGGATATCTCAGGATTAGAGAACAAAGCAGAGACTTAAATATTTAATAGGAGGCCATAAATCGTGTAAGATAATTCATCGACAGGAATTATTTTGTGATAATAACTTAGGGTTGGAAATGTCAATCCATGTAACAATCTAGCGATTTAGGTTTTCGCAGATCAAAGTTTTACTATTTGCGGTTTTCGCGCGATATGATTGGTCGGGACGCGAAACGAGTGAAGCGGAAACGCGGACCTTTGTCATAGAAAATGACGCCGGAGCCGAGAGATAAAGAATCGCTTATCCGTCCGGTCGGGCGATGTATTTCTAGTTACCGCAACAATTTCATAGCGATTACAGCAGAGATGGACAGAGCAGTCTGTAGCCGAACAGGGGTGATGTAAAGAAATATGCCGTATTGCCGGCAGTGTTAAACTGCTAATTGCTCTGTCGCTGGCTGATATTTATGGGGTCGTGGCCCTCGATGGGCGAACATCATCAGTACTGTCTCATTAGCGGCTAATGAGAAGTGTAGTTTAAGGCGTTTTCTAATTACCTTTGTCGGCCAGTATGCGGGGGGCGATATTACGCGCCTTGGTTTTGTACCACCCACCTCCAGCCTACACAATTAGTAACGTGTACGGATATGTTAACAGCTATCTTAGTGGCCAATGACGCATAATTAGTGAGATGCAAACAGAGAGATACTACCGGGCGGCTGGGTGGTCGACCCGCCTAGGTGGCCATTGGTGAAGTTACCTGATTCTGATTTATGGGGATCATGTATGACTTCGCCGTGTCGATTCTTTCTTCCGGCCCGCACGCAAGTGTCCATCCTAAAGGTCGTGTCACGATGTGCCCTCGCACGTGAAATTGCATTACCTGTGATTGTGGTGCTCGGACGGTGGCGATTTTAGATTCTGGTGTGGTAGCCTGTCTGTGGTAACGGTAGCTGCACGCATGGTATGCGCGTTCGTGTGTAACAGAGAGCAAGAGAGAGTAAGATAGAGAAAGAAAAAACGAGGGCGAGGAGCGATGGTGTAAGTCAGAGAGAGAGAGAGAGAGAGAGAGAGAGAAAGAGAGAGAGAGAGAGAGAGAGAGAGAGAGAGAGAGAGAGAGAGAGAGAGAGAGAGAGAGAGAGAGAGCGAGAGAGAGAGAGAGAGGGCGGAAGATAAAGAGAAAGAGAAAGAAAGAGAAAGCGAGAGAGCGAGCGAGAGAGAGAGAGAGAGAGAGAGAGAGAGAGAGAGAGAGAGAGAGAGAGAGAGAGAGCGAGAGAGAGAGAGAGAGAGAGAGAGAGAGAGAGAGAGAGAGAGAGAGAGAGAGAGAGCGAGAGAGAGAGAGAGAGAGAGAGAGAGAGAGAGAGCGAGAGAGAGAGAGAGAGAGAGCGAGAGATGGCCGTGGTACGTATGTATGTTGGTGTCAAAGGTGCGACCTGAAGCGTCTGCTAAAATGGCGACACGCTCGATAGCGCGACAGGACAGGGACGAGCCTGTGGGTGCTGACGACGGCATGGTATGTGATCTCGCCATCATCCACTGATCATCATATGATCAGCCAGGAAAGAGAGACGAACGCCACGAAGACGCACACACAGCAGACGCACAGCACACCACACACACACGCACGCACCCACCCATCCGCACGCACCCAAGCGCACGACGCACGGCAGCCGTCCCACGCGCCGCGGCACACACACACACACACACACACACAAAGACAGAGAGAGAGAAGAAAGAGAGAGACGAGATACAGCGCGAGAGAGAGTAGCAATGCGTGGGGGGCAAAAGAACCAAGTGAACTGCATTATTTCATATCGGCTTATCTTCGTTACTTATATGGTTGACAAACAGCTACGTGCAGCAATTTCTCGCCAGTATTTCTCCGCTCTCCTTCAATATTCACCCATGTATCTACAACTGCATCTAACGGCGGCCAATCTTTCTTTTTTTAGGAACCTCGGCTCCTAAGAAAAAAGGTTCGGTCGTTCCGAACCCGTACTCAACACAGGGCGACACCTACGACAGCGCCTCTCGCGGCAGGAAGCCGAAGCGGGACGAGATTTACGGATTCAGTCCCGGAAAGAGGTCGGAAGCATCCAGACGGGCCCGTTCCCTGGAGTCCTTGCACACAGACAGGAAGCAGAAACTGCCACGCCCCGGTCCGGCATTCAGTACCTCTCAGGTATTCTTCTCGTTTCCTTGGCAACCAGCTGCAAACTCTAAAATCGCCATCGGCCGTAGTCACACACATGCCTAAGATCTAGACTCGCCCCATCTATTTGCGATGGCAGTTATGTGGGGTCATGAGGCGGTTGGCAACCATCTATACCTCCCCCGCACCGCTTCTTTTCACTTTAGTTACACAGCGTTACGTTCGCCGAGCGCGCCATCGATGTTTGGCCCGACGCAGCAACGGTGGCGCCACCTGCGACGCGCGACCAACATGGCGGCGTGTGGGATGGTCACGTGGAGAAGAGGGCGCTGCCGTCGTCAGGTCTACCGGCCGACGTGTCCGTGCAGACTGTGGATAGAGGGCTCAGCCCTATTCACTGGAGCGACGAGGAAGACAAGGAAAACACAGTGCTCACGCTGAAAAAGCTAGCCAAGGTACGGTTCTTGAGATCGATCGATGGATAGTCGTATTGAGCAACCATCGATTACGCAACAACGTGTACACGAACGTGAATACGAAATGCGTATATGTTTAGAAGAGAAATAAATGTCGGGTGCAATGGAGGAGTGTTAACAAAAGTGGGAGAGTGAGAGAAAAAGAGTTAAAAATGCGAGGGATTGGGTGCATGTAGAAGTAGATCTTCAACGTGAGATAGGGTTGGAGACGTAGGTGGCAGTTTGTCGTAGTTGTAGACTACTCGGTGCAGTACTGCGTGGGAGTGTATGAATAAGATGGAGAAATATTGATCCTATTCTGTGTGAGGTTAGGGAAGAGAAGAAAAATAGGGAGAGAGAGAGCGAGAGATAGAGTGAGAGAGAGATGGAAGAGAGTTGGAGAGAGGAAAATAGATGGATCGATAGATAGAGAGAGAGTTAGAAAGAGAAGGAAAGAGAATGAGAGACAGAGAGAGTCTGCAAGAGAGAGAGAGAGAGAGTGTGTTAGAAGGAGGAAGATAGATAGTTTGATAGAGAGAGAAAGAGTTAGAAAGAGAATGGGAGAGAGAAAGTTAGAAAGAGAATGGAAGAGAGAGAGAGAGAGAACGAGAAAAAAGAAAGAAAGAGAGGGAGAAAAAGACAAAGAGAGAGAGAGAGAGAGAGAGAGAGAGAGAGAGCGCGCGCGCGAGAGAGAGAGGATAGAGAGAAAGAGATACGATTGTCACTGTCCTACTTTCCTAATCGTTGCCTGAAAACTCATTTACAGCCGTAATCCCGATTTTAACGACTGTACAGAAATTCAAATACGTCTCAGCGGTATGTAAACCCCATTAGTCAGCAGGCGCGCCCACTTAGGAAGAAGTGTTGAGCTTTAGAATTATTAACGAGAATCTAATTGCCAGACCGTCTTCTCTCTCTCTCTCTCTCTCTCTCTCTCCTCTCTCTCTCTCTCTCTCTCTCTATCTCTCCTCTCTCTCACTCTCTCTCTCGCTATTTTCTGTGGTGTTTCTCTCTACATCTCGGTCAAATTCTATCTATCTATACTATCTATCTATCTATCTATCTATCTATCCTATCTATCTATCTACTCTATCTATCTATCTACTTCTATCTATCTATCTAACGCTATCTATCTATCTTATCGATGCTATCTATCTATCTATCTATCGTCTCTCTTCTCTCTCATCTCGCTCTCTCTCTCTCTCTCTATCATAATTATACTATATATATATATTATAGTATATATATATATATATTCCTTGCTCTTTCAACTCCTCTCGATACCTCTCGCAGAATAGGGATTAATGTCTCTCTATTTCTCTTTCATATACGCTACACGCACAGACATCGAGCTTGCGAAGGGTAGTGGAGGACAATAATCTGCGTCTTATGAGTATAATAAAATAAAATACGTAGTATATGCCAGTAATAATATAGAAATAGAATAATGTGAGATAGTAACAATATAATTAGATAATACATAATAATAATATAAATATTAAGAGAGAGAGATTGTGAAATTACACAGTTAGTTCAATAATAACCATCCTCGCAGAATTGAATTCACGGTCGCTCTGAGCTAAGTGCACGGACTCTGTCTTAGCCTGTATTCAGAGAGACATTACTAAGTAGGAAGCCCCCCAGATACTAACGGACGAAGGCTAAGCCTGCGACAGAAACAACGGTTGCAGTTCATGGGCGAACAAGCGCGCACTGTTCGAACGGGTAACAAACGGATGACGAATAACATACCGTGACTATCGCTACGAGGAAATGAACATAGCACTGGACTTTTCGCTGACGGCGGAGCGTGAACATTATATGACGACTCGTGACGGTGAATGAACATCATCCAGACTTCATGGTGACGGAGGGGAATGACACCACTATCATGACCTATAGTTGACGCCGGAATGAACATAGCATCGACTCTATCCCACTGCTCGGGCCGTAACGGGAATGAACATCCTATGAGACTATGCCGCGACCTGACGAGGCCTGGAATTAACATATCATCGACTATACGTGACGACGAATGAAATATCCCATGACTATCGGAACCGCCGTGACGCGGGGGAAATGAACAGATCATGCCGATGTCTGGCGGGGCAAGATGAACATAGTCCATGGATATCGTGAGGGAGGCTATGAACATATCGATGACTCGTGACTCCTGCGCGAGATGAAGCATACCCGGACGCTATCTAACGGGGAATGAGAAACATATCATGACTATCGTGACGGAGACGAATGAACATATCATTCACTATCGTGACGGGGAGACGCATGAAACATATCATGTACTGGACTTAATCGGCGGGCCGTGACGGGGTGCGGACCAGAGACATGATACATGCACTGGCGTATATCCGGGACGGGCCGCGGGAACCATGGAACATATCTGACTATCGTGCACGGGCTGACTATGAACCATACCGCCATGCACGATCGTGGCGCGCGAATAGAACATGATCAGGATTGACTATCGTGACGCGGGCGACATCGAATATCATGACTTCGCTGACACGGACATGAACATAACATGAACTATCGTGAACGGGGGAATGAACATATCATGACTATCGTGACGCGGGATATGAAATCATCACATGACTATCGTGACGGGAATGAACATACCATGACTACGCTGGCGGGGAATGAACATATCATGACTATCGTGACGCGGAAGTGACACAGATCATGACTCGTGAACGGGGACCATGAACCATACCAGACTATCGTAACGGGCGAGATAACATATCGATGCACATGCGTGACGGGAATGAAGCATTACCATGACATCGCGAACGGCGGAATGAACATCATCATGACGTATCGTACGGGGAATGAACAGTATCATGGACTATTCGTGACGGGCGAATGAACATATCAATGACTATCGTGACGGGAGATGAACATATCATGACCTATCGTGGCACGGAATGAACATTTAACCAATGACTATCATGACGGCGGAATGAACATATCATGGACTATCGTGACGCGGGACATGAACATACCCGCATAACTATCGTGACGGGGATAATGAAACATATCATGACTATCGTGATCGGTGGCGAATAACATTATCATGACTATCGTGACGCCGGGAATAACATATCATGACTATCGTGACGGGAATGAACATATCATGAACTATCGTGACGGGAATGACACCAGTATCATGCGACTATCGTGACCCGGAATGAAACATATCATGACTATCGTGACGCGGGAATGAAACATATACATGACTTATCGTGACGGTGAATAACCATTATCATGAGACTATCGTGACGGGCGAATGAACATATCATACTATCGTGACGGGAATTGAACATAATCATGACCAGCGTGACGGGAATAACATGCATAACTGCGTGACGCGAGATGAACATATTCATGACTATCGTGACGGGCGAATGAACATATCAGATGACCATCAGTGACGGGGAATGAACAAGCATGACATCGTGACGGGCGAATAACATATCATGACCTATTCGTGGACGGGGAATGAACATATCATGACTCTACTGTACGGGGATATGAACAATATGACTATGCGCTGACGGGGGAATAACATATCGATGACTATCGTGACGGGGAATGAAACATAGCTATGACTATCGTGACGTGGGAATGAACATTATCATGGACGTATCGTGACGGGGAAATGAGCATATCATGCACTATCGTACTGGAATGAACATTATCATCTGACTATCGCTACGGGGGACATGAACATATCATGACTATCGTGACGGGGAATCGAATCATATCATGACTATCGTGACGGCGGGAGATGAACATATCCACTGACTATCTGACGGGGAGATGAACATATCGAGAACTTATCGTGAGCAGGAATGAACATAGAGCATCGATTATCGTTGACGCGGAAATGAACCCATACCATACATAATCGTGACCGGAATGAACTTCATGACTATCGTGACTGGGAATGAACATATCATACTATCGTTGGCAGAGGACATGAACATATCATGACTATCTGACGCGAAATGAACATATCCATGGACTATCATCGACTGGGAAATATGAACATTATCATGACATGCGCTTCGACCGGGGAATAACATATATGACTATCGTGACGGGGACACCCATGAACAGTACCATGACTACTCGACGGGGATAGAACATATCATGACTATCCGTGACGGCGGAATGAAACATATCATGACTATCCGTGAGAGGGGAACTGGAGACATACATGACTATCGTGACGGGAATGACACATATCGATGACCATGCGTGACGGGGATGAACAGTTCCATGAGGACTATTCGGGACGGGGAATGACAATATATTATGACTATCGTGAACGCGGAATGAACATACCATAACTATCGTGACGGGATGATGGAACAGCATGCGTATCGTGACGGTGAATCAACATATCATCCTATCGTGACGCGGACATGAAACATATCATGACTATCGTGACGTGGAATGAACATATCATGACTATCGTGACGCGGAAGTATGACATCATATCATGACTATCGTGACGGGACTATAACATATCAATGACTATCGTGGACGCGGGAAATGAACAATCATACTATCCTGACAAGACATGAACCATATTATTGGACTCATCGTACGGAATGAACATATCATGCGACTATCGTGACGCGATGAACATATCATGACTATCGTAGAGGAGAAATATCATGACTATCGTGACGGGAATGAACCATACCGATGACTATCGTGGACGCAATAAACATCATCATTGACTATCGTGACGGGGAATGAACATATCGATGACTATCTGACCGGAATGAACATATCATGACTTATCGGACCGGGAATGAACATATTCATGACATATCGTGACGGGAATGTAACACTATCATGAACTATCGTGACGGGGAAATGAACATACCATAAACTATCGTGGACGGGGAGATGAACATATCATGACATATCGTGACTGGGAATGACATATCATTGACTCATCGTGACTGGATGAACATATTTATGACTATCGTGACGGGAAGAACATTATCATGCCATCTATCGTACGGAACTGAACAATTCATTGAACTATCGTACGGAGAGATGCAAATATCATCGACTATCGTTGACGCGGAATGAACATATCATGAGCTACGTGACGGGGAATGAACATATCCATGACGATCGTGACGGTGGAGATGAACATATCATGACTGATGCGTGCACGGGCGATATGAAACATATCATGATCTATCGTGACGGGGAGATGAATATACCATGACTATCGTGACGCCCGAACCCGTGGACTTCCCACATCCGGATGGCATGAACATATCATGACTATCATGACGGAACTGAAACATATCAGACTCATCGTTGCACGGGGAATGAAACATATCATGACATATCGCTAACGGGGGAATGAACATATCAGACTATGCGTGACCGGATCATGAACATAGTATCTATGACTTATCATGACGAGCCGAATGAAACATGATCATGACTATCGTTGACGGAGCGATGAACATACCGATTGACTATCGTGACGGAGATGAACATATCCATGACTATCGCTGCGGGAAAATGAATACATAACATGGACTATCGTGACGCGGGAAATAACACATATCATGACTATTCGTGACGGTGAAATAATATCACTGACTATCGGATGACGGGGATAATGACACATATCATGAACTATCGTGACGGCGGAGATGAACATTCATGACTGATCGCTGACGGGAATGAACATAGCAGCGGACTAATCGTGACGGGGATGATGAAACATATCATGCACTATGACGTGACTGGGGAATGAACATAGCGATGACTACTCGTGTACGGGGAAATGAACATAGCATGACTATCGTGACCACACCCGTTGCGCCGGCATTGCTGCTGCTGAAGTTCACCTCGGGTGGAACGCAATAACGGGGAAGAGAGATTTAGTGAAAGATTTTAGTTGCATTGCACAAAAGCCACCTGTGAGGATGCGACCGTACAGCACAACCTGTCCCGACACGTCAAGAATTACTGGCTAATTGACCGCGGATTCATTAGCTTAAAGCTACTCATAACTCTGCCTACTGACCACCCAAGTAGATCTCGAGCATTCCGTCGGCTACTAATGCACACGCCGGCACGCTACCCACGCCGCGCCATGCCCAGACACGCACGCACGCACGCGACCACACGCAGTGCGCACATGCGCAAGAATACACACACAACATGCACACACACACACACCAACACACACCACACACAACACACACACACACACACACACACACACACACACACACACAAACAGTGAGGAGCGAGCACACACACACGTGTTTCTTCTCGTTGGTGGCGTCCAGCCACACGCCACACCACCTGTGCGTTCTGCCCGCGGGCCCGCTATTCACAAATGCGACATGATTACGTTCAGCCTATAAAAGTCCCGCTGTCTGACGGCCGGAGTGACGGGCGGACAGAGTTACGGCAGACGACGCCAAGTTAAACGCGACAAATGTCCCGCCGCCGGGCCAGCGGCGCGCAACCGTTTAAGTTTCTTTATTACTCGCCTTAATTGACATCTTGCAGGTTACGCACAACTCGTCAGCCAGGTGCGTGTGCTCATACAGCCCGTCGGCATTGGCACGGGGCGACAGCAAAAGAACGTGTTGTCCGGGAGGGGTGAGAGGGCAAACGCTGCGATATATAGGGAAACGCCCTGGAAAGGGAGTTAGAGAAGGGAAAAAAGAGATAGGCGGCGTGATGATGTGAGGATATTGAGCAGAATGATGATGAGACGATGAGGAGGAGGAGAGGAGGAGGAGGAGGAGGAGAGAGGAGGCAAGGAGTATGAAAAAGAGCCGCGAGAAGCGCATTACGCCTTATAAGTTCGAGAATTGATCATGAAAAACAACCCCTCCCAAAAATGCCTTTGCAAAAATGGCAAGCTGCACAGTATGAATTGTACAGCCGCAGCGACACCTGCGATGTGCAAGCGTCGAGAAACTGAACAGCTGCCGACCTCCAGATTACAGCTTAGAGTGTTTGATATAATGTTATTTATTAGGACATTACGCACATTTATACTTGATGTTGGTATATAAAAAAAATTATATATATATATTGCTTGTTACATGAAGGATGTTGCAAATGTTCACGTAAGCGGTGTGCATACGTTACGCCAAGGATCACTGTTACGATTACTGTTAGGAAAAAAAAAAATTGATTTATCGAACGTTGTTATTACATGTGTAGTATTAGAGTAAGCGTCATATATGTGTGAGCGCTGCGCCGTCGTTCTGTATGTCTTTGTCTGCATGCCTGGTGTGTCGCGCGTAGTTTTTATGCGCGCGCGTGGCGTTGCGGAACAGTTCATCGGCACTGTCCCTCGCGATAACTATATTCTACACCCATTATCTTACTTCTCCTTTTTCCTCCCTCCTCATCCTCCTCTTCCTCATCCCCTCAACTCTACTCTTCTCCGCCTCCTAGTTTCCCACACCTATTATTCTGGGAGTCCTCCGTCATTTCCCCTCCTGCGTCCATTTCTTCTTCTTCTTCTCTCTTCTGCTTCTTCTTTCTTCTTCTTTGTTTTCTTATGCACCTCTTTGTCTTTTATTCTCTATGTACGGGGTGGTTACTGACTGCATGCGCCTGTCTTCTAGATGATGCTAACCACCAGGATGACAACGAGATGTGGGCTTGCCAGAGAAATCCAAGTCTACCTCCGACTATCACAGTACACCTATCCATTGACGAGCTCAGAGGCTATCGAAGAGGTAAGCATATATACCTTATATACCATATATACCTTGTTAGGGGGTAACTGTGTTACAGCCCGAAGAATTAGATGAGTTAGAAGAATTCAGGATATTATGCACTCAATCGCTAATTTCGTTTAAGGCGCCACGCGAATGAGTAAATTAACGTGTAATCATGTAGCATGTAGCTAGTAATGTAGAATGAAGACAAAACAGAAGTCGTTTACATTAGTTGCGATTTACTTTACCTCGTTAGATCGTCTTTGGCGAATCAGAATAGGAATGACCATTTCCTAATGCGTTGAATTTAAGACTCGAAGTTGACACACGATATCTTTCCATCTTCTAAATAAAAATAAGATAATACGCAAAAATATATCTTGACGCATTCGTTGTATCTCTAGTCTCTGTAGGCCTTTCTCCGTGTGACTTAGTGTACGTGTTGTGGTGTGTGTGTGTGTGTGTGTGTGTGTGTGTGTGTGTGTGTGTGTGTGTGTGTGTGTGTGTGTGTGTGTGTGTGTGTGTGTGTGTGTGTGTGTGTGTGTGTGTGTGTGTGTGTGTGTGTGTGTGTGTGAGCGCATGTGTATTTTTCCCGCGGGTATTGGATCAGTAGTTTTACTCCGTGACCAGTGTACGTGTGTATGTGAGCGCATGTGTTTTTTTCCGCAGGTACTGGATCTGTGCACACGCGTGAAACCCGCCAATGTACCGCTACTCGTCATGCAGCCCTACCAGCCATCACCGCACTGGAGCGCTGCCGACGAAGTCGAAGTTGACGAGGGCATGGTCGTCAACGCCCTCTATAAACATCGTCAGTGGGTGTACGTGCGCACGCCGGAGAACCGAGAGGGCTTCGTACCCTACACGCACGTGATCGCGCTCAGCCTCGTTATGGGCCGCGAGCAGAATACCGTCGAGCAGTGTCTGTCGCGAGGGGGCGTGCTGCGCGCCAGCCAGTTCCAGCGCTGTCGTCGCAACTACCACCGCATGCGCGCGGCAAAGATCGACACGATCCACGAGCAAGAAGTCTGCTCCGATCCCACAGGTGGCGCCACCGTCCTCTCCACGTCCACTCCTTACCCGACAGGCATCGCAGCGCCACGTATCGGCGGTAACATGGAGGCGTTTCCGCCGCAGACGCACCCGCCGCAGAGCTGCTACCGGTTACCGAGCAGAGACTACGAAGAGCATGTCTACCCGGCGGTCGAGTGCTGCGGGTATGGCTCCCCGGCGCAGCAGCAATACCAAACCGCCCGCCCGCCGCCGCGCTACCACCACGGCAGCTCGCAGCCGCCGCCGCCGTACGCGCATGCGCCGTCGCTCACGCCGCGCTGCGTCTTGTCGACGCGCTCGGCCTCCTGTTTGGATCCGCCTCCTCCTCGCTCAGCAGAGATGCGTCGAGCGTACTCTGTGAGCGCTCTGGCTCCGCCGCTGCCCTCCGTGCCGCCGCCGCCCGCAGCGCCATACACGAGCGGCGGCGGCGGCGCGCAGGACTGGAGCTACGTCAGCGACGCGTGGGACACGTCCCGTGGCGCCACCTCGCTGCTGTACGTCGACCCAGACAACCTGATGCACGACGGCCGACCGCCGAAGCCGCCGCGCGTCGTCGTCGGCGCCGACGAGCCGTGGCGACCGACGGCCGACGACTGGCGCTCGCCGCGCCACCACGCGTCGTTGCCGCGCTACATGAGCGCCGAGAGCGTGTGCCGACGCGGCGACGTCCGATCGCACCACCAGAGGTCGCCATCGGTGCACGATCTCATCCTGCACCGCTTCGGTCCCGAGATTGAACAGCAGATGGCACTGCGCTACCACGGCGACCAGCCTGCCGACTGCGCACCACCGCCCCCTAGCGTCAGATACGTCGGCGAGCACGCAGCGATGTACGTGCGTCGCACGGCCTCCTGTAACAGAAGCTTTGCACCGCTACCAGAGGAGCAGTCGGCGACGCGACCCGACGACGGTGGCGCCACCTCGCATCCGAAGCAAAGCTCGCAGACGAGCGACCTCGGCGAGTCGATCGAGGACAGACCGGCGATGGTGGCGTCGCCGCGGTACGTCGCCGCCGACAGGGCGGGGAGCGTCGCGACGCAGCAAAGGTCGGTGCGCTGCGGCGTCAACTCGCTGCCGCGTCACGACGCGACGGCGCGTCTGCCCGCCAGCGTCTCCCTGCAGCAGCTGCCGCGGGCGACGACGACGACGACGGAGGAAGAGTTCGAGTTCAAGCGACCGCGCACGCCCGAGCGCTTCCGCGGCAGCGGCGGCGGGGGCGGCGCCACCGACATCCGCCGCACCGTCTCCTTCCAAGAGCCGCTGAACAAGCTGTCGCCACCAGACGGCGCTACGATGTCGGACCGACCGCTGCCGACGCCGCCGTCGCCGAAGTGGTCGCCGACGAGTGACGGCGTGACGGACGAGTACGGCGTGCAGGACATTGCCGACGTGTTGAGCAACGGCAATGCGTCGCAGCAGCGCATATCTTTGCCCTACTCTCCCGCGCAGGACGTCGGCGCGACGGTTCCCGTCGGCCGACGGGGCGTGCCGGCCGGCGCGACGTCGCCAGACTCGTCGCCGTTCAACAGCTCGACGTCGACGGTGCTCGACCGACGAGAGAGCGCGGGCGAGATCGGCGGCAGCGGGGGTAGCAGCGGGTCGTGGAAGAGCGGGGGTAGCGGCGCATCTCGGAAGAGCGCCGGTAGCGGCGCGTCTCGGAGCAGCGGGAGTGGCGGCAAATGCGGGAACGGCTCGGCTGGCGGTTCCGTCACCAAGGGGAAGTCACCGAGACGGATGTTGACCTACGATGACAGGGAACTATCATGCAAGGCTCTCCCGTCGGCTGTCAGCACGCAGACGCACGCCAGCCCCGCACGAACCGCGCATGCGCAGAGCGAGAGCAAGACTCGTGCATCCTCCTCCTCCTTCTCCTCCTCAAACAACACCAGTAACACTTCCACGCCCTCCAAAATCTCCACCGTACCACAAACGCCCACGAAACTCCCCAGCGACCCTCGCACGCCAACGAAGATCGCGCGAACGCCTCCGAAAACGTCAAACGAATATTCCATCGTGAAATCCACGCCCCGCACGCCTCCTATCGGCTCAATGAAGCCATACACGCCTTCCACAGCTTCCGTGAAGCCATCCGCTGACGTCACCACGAAGGTCGCCTCGCCGCGCAGGACCCCGCTGAAGGGTCCGAGTCACGTGGGCGACTACGTCACCACTACGATGCCGAATGGAATTCTAAAGCACAGAGTTGCGCAGCCGACGTCGTCGTCGCCAGGCAAACCCACCGCACAGCAGTCGTCGACGCCCGCCAGCCCGTACGCGGGCGCGAGTCCGGCACGCTCGCTCACGCAAGGTGGCGCGCGCAAGCTGAACAACTCTGACGGCAGCGACAGCTTTCGGTCGTCGAGCAGCGACAGCTTCGCCAGTTCGCCGGGCGTCGACAGTCCGAACGAATCCGGTTCCGGTTCCGGTTTCGATTCCGGGTCGTCGTCGTCGCGCGTCGTCATCGGCGCGTTCACGCGCATCGTCGACGGACCGCTGGCGACGCTGCTCTACGACTTTCAGGCGATGGAGGAGGACGACCTGACGGCGCGTCGTGGCGACGTCGTCCGGCTCGTCAATGCCGATGACCAGCAGTGGCTGTGGGTGGCGCTGGTGTCGGGGGAGCGCGTGGGCGCTGAAGGCTTCATACCGGCAAGCTACGCACTGCTAAATGACAAGCAGGCAGGCGACAGCTGCCAGAAATCACTGCAGCAGGTGAAAACCTACCTGTGAAAAGGTACGGCTGTGTACCTGTGTACAGGTACGGTTGCGTCATGCGGCAGCAGCAGGTGAAAACTTATCTGTGAAAAAGTACCTGCGTACCTGTGAACAGGTACGGTTGCGTCATGCGGCTGCAACAGGTGAAAACCCACATGTGAACAGGTACGGCTGCATTGTGTGGCAACAACAGATGAAAACTTACCTGTGAAAAAGTACCTGTGTGCCTGTGAACAGGTACGGTTGCGTCATGCGGCTGCGACAGGTGAAAACCCACATGTGAACAGGTACGGCTGCATTGCGTGGCAACAACAGGTGAAAACTTACCTGTGAAAAGCTACCGCTGTGTTGTCGACCCTTTCACGTTGATATCTTCGTTAGAAATGATTGAAATCGTTACAACAGATACAAACAGGAATGATTACGTCATCCAAGTTGTTATATACGAAGATATTATTCGTGGGATCGTGCTGTAATAAACTTGAATGCATGTAAAAGCAATTAATTGAATTCGTACAGATTTAAAATGTTTGTTTCTTCGATTGACTTGTGATTTTTAACCAAGTGTTTGTGTTAAGACAGATTGTTATGATCGCTATGGTTGATGCAGATAACGATTATATTTTTGCCGTTTAATTTTGAATGATTAATTACCGCTGCTCGCACTACTGTTTGCAGGTTATGCATAAATATTATTATCATTATTATTACTATTAATATTATGGAATATTGTACGAGGTTGAAACTGGTTAGTGTATAAATGTGTATCTTTATTGTATAAGGTTCTACTCTGATTCTTATAATACCTTCCCTATGTCTATCTGGTTTCAAATAGTATTGTACATTAAACGATGTATTTATCTTTGCATAATCTTCGCTGCAGTTTATTGCGTGACATTTCACATGATTAGTATATAGGTAGAAGTGTTACAATAAAGTGTTTTTACATTCTATTTAAAATGCGTCTTGCGGTCAATTATTTAAATCACTACATATAACACCTACGGCACAAACAACTTCCATAAACATTACTCACAAACTTCATTCATAAACTTTCAAACATAAACTTCATTAATAAACGTTATCCATTAACCTTCATTCATAAACTGCATTCAAAAATCTTCACGTATAAGATTTATGAATAAACTTTATCCATGAACCATCATTCATAAACCCTATTCAAAATCCTTCGCTCATAAACGTCATTAATAAACTCTATTCATAAACCTTTATTCAGAAACTGCATTCAGAAACATTCATGCATAAACTTCAATACTAAAGTTTATTCATAAACCTTCATGCATAAACTTTAGTACTGAAGTTTATTCATAAACCTTCATGCATAAACTTTAGTACTGAAGTTTATTCATAAACCTTCATGCATAAACTTTAGTACTGAAGTTTATTCATAAACCTTCATGCATAAACTTTAGTACTGAAGTTTATTCATAAACTTTCACCCATAGAACTTCATTCATAAACACCCATTCATAAACTCTCATTCATAAACTCTACTCATAACCTCTCATTCTTCATCTTCTGGCTTCTGACTTCAGACTTAATTGTTATTCATCTGTGTTGTGCATCTTCCACACGCGCACGTAGTCTACCTGCATGGCAGCACTCTCTCCAACGCGACCGCTGTCATCCGTCCACGTAGGGTACCACTCGTGCTTCTACAGCAAAAAAATACACGCACTCGTCTAGAATATCTCGCATTCGTCTGTGTTATTTAAACGAGCTTTTTGTAGACACGATGGATCTATTCCGATGCGATATGATATAGTCCAGTAAATAAATAAATAAATAAATAAATAATTATATATATATATATATATATATAATTATATATATATAATGTGTGTGTGTGTGTGTATATATATATATGTGTGTGTGTATTCATTCATATTTTGTCATAAAGAATAATTACAAAACTTTTACAAAATTTTATATTAATTATCAAATATTACTTATTTATAAAATTATATATATATATATATATCTTTTTATGAATGAATAATAAATAAATAAATATATATGTGATATATATTATATCAAGAGCTAATAATAAGGTAATATTAGCTCTTGATTATACATATATTTCATCAATTATTAAATTACTACCTAATTATTTACCCCCGATAATATGCACCCCCTTTCTGTCATATATATATATATATATATATATATATTATCTATTATATATATCTTTAAAGGTAATCGGCAAACGCTGAAAGGCACCTGATGGACAATGCTAATGGTCAGGATGTTGCCGTCCTCCACGCGTGCACTGGGGACGCGTATGGCCCGAGGACCGCTGTGGAAACTCACATAATCTTAGTTGACATTTACAGCGACAATCACAACTATTTACCATCTCATACCGCCATGTCTTCTTCACTTCGGCAAGTTGCTCAGTCATTAAAGAAACATTAGAGTGGCATTATAGTTTATAATAGTTTTATAATAATAGATAAACATAACATAAATAATATTAGATTGAGATGGATTATATATGAATAACGATAGTGATCGATAATTGTTAATCATCCTAATCAGATCATATGTAGTTTCGGGGCTCGCGTAGTAATCTGTTGATGAGGGGAGGTGGGGTGGCCCGGGGGGGGGGGGGGGGGTTGCTTAAGTAACATAAGTAAATAGCAGGGGTAGTCCGTGTTCAATAGGGAAGGTTGTCGGCTGTTGTTATGATGCTGTTATTATATGTTGCCATCATGTGCCGTTTGCATGTTCTGCTATTATATGCTGTTATTATATGTTGCCATCATGTGCCGTTTGCATGTTCTGCTATTATATGCTGTATATAATGTTGCCATCCAATGTCGCGTTACAATGTCTGCTAGTATATGCTGATTATTTATATGTGTGCCATCATGTGCCGTTAACGTGATGTTCTTGCCCATTTATAATCGCGTGGTTTATTTATGTTGCCATCATGTGCCGTTAGCATGTTCTGCTATTATATGCTGTTATTATATGTTGCCATCATGTGCCGTTAGCATGTTCTGCTATTATATGCTGTTATTATATTGCCCGTTTGTGCCGCCACTCCTTATGTTCCGTCCGTTTCCGTGTAGCATGTTCTGTCTGCTCTATTATTAATATCTGTTATAT